CATGCCGCGACGCATGACCGACGCCAACGCATCGAGACAGCAACGCCCTTAGTTCACCGACGCGCCGTCGGATCAAAGTGCCCGCGTCGACGCCAACAGATACGATACCAAAGCCAGCGACAGCTACGATGACGACGCCACCTCGCCCTCCTCGACGCCACGCGATGATTTCCGGGCAGAAGTGGAACACATTTGGGTGGATTGGACTCGACGACCCACGCGCCCCGCGGAAGAGTGTCTGAAGCGGCTCAAGATTGACGAGTGGACAACGTATTTCCGACGATAAAAGTGGAGGGGGGCGCTGCACCTCGCGAAAACAGAGGCCGCCGAATGGGCAAAATTTGCTGTGCTGTGAACGCCGGAATTGGACCTCAGGCACAACGCATCCCGAAGAACAGGACGGCCCGAGCAAAGATGAACACATGATTTACGACAGTATTTGCGCGCAGCGGGCGACGACGCAAGTACGGCGACAAGCCTATCAAGTTCCATGGCGTCACCAATCTCCTCATCATCCTTCACACTTTCACACGTACTTAGCATTGCTTCCACGGAGAGGTGGGGAACTCTCGAAGATGGTTTCGCACGCCGACCTCAACCATGCGCGGCGCCCGTCGAATCCACATCGGCTCACCAGCACGACGCCCGACCCCCCGATACACCAGTTTTCGTCTCGCCGACTCTGGCTCCCGCCTCCCCGCTTCCTTCCCTTATCTCTCCGTCTCTGGCCCCCACTGCCACTCCAGCCAAAATGTCCCCAATTCTGGCGCACCGTCTTATCGATTTTCTGGTTTCGGGCCCCGCCTTTCCGATTAACGCTCCAATTGCATGCGACTCCGGCACCCGATCTCGTCCTTCCGAGTCTTTGGCTCCAACCCGACTCCAGCCTCTGAGCGGCCACTTCATTTTTTTACCAGCGCCCACCCGTTGCACCCTCATGGGTGCCCTCCGTGCGGGTCTGTCTGTTTGTCTAGTGGGGACAATACGACGTCGACGACGACGATGCCAATGGTAATGAAATTGCTAGAGATGCGAATGACGGTGCCGACGATGACGTTGGCGACGATGACAATGATGTTGGTGATGATGATGAAGAAGTGCCCGCGCGCAGAAATCGGACGAAGGCGACGATATCGACGATCATGATGACGATGGTGGCAACGACGACGGCACAATTGACGCTGACGATGATAACGAGTGTGTTGATGAGGATGATGAGGATGTGCGCGCCCGCATAACGTGCGCGCGCGGCGGCGCGCGCATGTGCCGCGTAATGCATTTTATGATTCGGGATTGTTCGGAAATCCCCAAAGAACAAAAACAAGACTTTCGTTGATCAACGCACGTGCGCCGCATAGTGTATTTTGCTGGAAATGGCGGAAAGTTTGCGTGAAGTGAGCAGGGGGTTAACGCTAAGCCTCATGTTTCCCAGATGGGGTCGAAGTGGACAGGGTCGGAGGATCGCGCAGCATCGCCGATGTCTCGCCGATGCATCGTCAATACATCGCCGATGCATCGTCGATGCATCGGCGACATTTGCGATGCATCGGCGACTTCAGCGTGGAGAACGTCGGGATCCACATCAAGCCGCATTGCTGATGCATCGACGATGCGGCGCGGCCCTCTGGCCCCATCTCGGACCTTATCTGTGAGACCTCTTCACGTCGTGGAAGCAATGTTGCGTAAGAAATGTAGTGCAGGCTATGCGGTGTAGTCTATGTGGTGTTAACTATTTCGTGCTATATACATATATATATATATATATGTGGTGTGAGCGCTCAGCGCACGGGCGGCACAGGCGACAATGTGGCGCGACCTCGTCGGACCCACCCAGCGCACGGCGTGCCCACCAGTGCCCACGAGGCAGCACGGGCGGCAACGCGGCGCGACTTCCGCGGACACACCCAACGCACGGGGCGCCCACGAGCGCCCACTAGGCGGCACGGGTGGCAACGTGGACCCACCCAGCGCACGGGGCGGCAACGTGGCGCAACCTCGGCGGAACCATCCAGCGCACGCGGCGCCCACGAGCGCCCACGAGGCGGCAACGTGGAACATCCTCGGTGGACCCGTCAAGTTAATTAAGAAAGCAAGTAAGATTTTTGTTCTGGTGCAAGCATGAGTTTGGGGAGATTCTGCCCGCCACAACTTGATTCCCGAGTGGCCTGGCCATTACAGACGAAAAATGTTGGATGTCATTTTCTATGGGTTGAAAACACTGGTAACAGCTGAGCGCGCCAACGGAATTGACCAAACAGGTGGCATATTTGGGGGAGGAGATTTCGGAGAATACGAACCACTTGGATATGAGGTACGAAGTTCAAAATCATATCTGGTCGTTGTATCAGATAGTGGGTTGCCAGCAAACTTGGCAGAACACAATTCATAATTGCCCACAGCGGGTCGGTTGCGTGATGGACAAAGTCTCTGAAATCAACGGTCGGTCGCAAGTCTTGGAGACAAGTGCGGTCGTTGACAAAATGTTCGGGTTGTCTGTCAAGGTAGATTGGATAGATCGGTTGGTACCTACATCATGTCAGGAAGGCGTCGTTCATAAGAGGCGCAATGAGGACAGTCGTGAAAGGGAGCGCGATGACGACGACATGTATGCCTATAGTTCTTGCGAGGTTCAAAAGTCCAGCGAGGATGGCCACGAGCAGGACCAGGATGGTGAACACATTTGTCACGATGAGTCAGATTTCGGCATCTTGTGAGGCCAAACTGGGGCCCGTTGAGCACAGTCGAAGCGGTGGTGGGTGTAGGCATGATTTCATACAGTGGTCCGGCAAATGGAAACATGTCGGAAATTTGATATTGAAGCGAACAAGGCTCACAGCTGCGTTCGCAACGAATGCACCGGAAATTGCAGATGCAATTCTGAATCGCAGGAGCTTACACCGGCTCGGTGTCAATAAGACAGAGTTTGACCAAATAGCGATGGCAAGCTATCAGAAACGATTGCTCGTCTGCCGAAACACATGGGCGATGATCACAAGAATGACATTAGTAAGTTCGAAAAGGAATTTAGTGATATTTCACCGATGAGGTTTGTGGCGGAAAGTGCGTGGTAACATCCAAAGAGGTATAGGAAGTCAAATGAGTAAATCAATGTCACTCCTGCCAGCGATGGAGGCCATGTAGTCAATGAATGTTCCCTACCTAGGCTCTGCTTAGAAGAGTTCTTAATCTCTTGGCTTAAAGGGCCGGGCACTGGGAACCGGCCCGGGCGGTTCCCCCAGTATCCGCCCCGCGGTTCCCCCAGTTACGTCCCCTTAGCTTAGCGTTGCTTATCTCATCTTAGCTTAGCTTATTTCATTTTAGCTTAGCTTCATCTTAGCTCAGGTTTATCTTAGCTTAGCTTACCTTCATCTTAGCTTCGCTGAGCTTTAGCATAGCAGAGCACAGCATAGCATAGCGTAGCATAGCATAGCGCAGCATAGCATGGCATAGCATAGCATAGCATAGCATAGCAACTAATGCTGCTTTCCTAGGGGCTCCAATTTCTAGGTAGGGTCGCACTGGGGTAATGTAACCGTATAGTTGCATTATATATGTGGAGCAGTGTGTGGCAACAACTTGTCCCGATGCCAATTCAACGAGACGCGATCCCCCTTCAGAGCATAAGTTGTCCTGCTGTGTGTAGCTCCTTTTTTCTCGCGTCCGCCCTCAGTCTCCTCGCCCATACAGAGTTGCATCACGTTCGCATGGCAGTGCTAGTATTTTCCCCCGGTCGCTTTTTGAATGATCGGCGCCATGGCGCCGCCGAACCGTTCCAACAGGGACCGCGCCTTGGCGCGTGTGCGAGCGTCTGTCCGTCCGTCCGTCCTGGCCCGTTCGCAGGTGCCCAAGGCCGAGAAGGCCCCAGAGATCCCGAAGAGACCCCCAAGGCGGTCCAAAGACGGCCCGAGATGGCCGCGAGACGGCCCATGAGGCTCCCAACACGCTCTAAGGGTGCCCGCAGAAAATTCCCAAGAGGCTCCCAAGAGGCAGGAATCGTTGATTTCTTTTCAGTGTTCATAAGCTTTGGGCACAGGTGTGCAAAGCTTACAAGAAAGCCCAAGAGGTCCCCAAGATCGTCCCGGGATGACCCGAAAGGCGCCCAAGACACAGCCCCCAGGCATTCCCAGCAAACCTACAAGACGGCCTCAAAGCGGCATCTTCAAAGGCCTCTCGGCATTTCTTTGTGTCCCTTTTTGGTGACTCTTCCAGGTCTCTTGCCTCTTGGCGGTCTCGGGGGGGCCAGCTTGGGGGAAAGGGCTCGAAATGTCAGCTCGAGTCTGGGACCGTCCTGGGGCGATCTTGGGGGCCGTCTTGGGTGCTCATAAGACGGAAAATCGAGTATGCGTGAATCAAATAAAAGCACGATAGTATTAATCAATGTTGATTTGTTTTGGGTTGGCCCCCCAGGGCCTCCAGAACGGCCCCAGTGCCAGGACGGGCCCCGAGACCATCTTAGGCACCCTTGAAAGTATGGACCCCCGACCACGAGTCCCAGGCCTCCTTGGGAGAATCATGCGACCAGCCCCAAAAGTCATGCGAGAAGCAACCGGAGATCCGTGAATTGGGGGCTTCCCTTTGACAGTGGTGGTGGGGGCTGGCATTGACCTGTGTCGGGGTCGGCCCTAACAAGTGGGAGGGGGTGTTCATTATTTATGAGTAGTGATAAGCCCCACCCAGAAGGGTAAAAAGGAGTTGGAAGAACGAACTCGAAGGTTGGCGGGACACCTCTTCCTTCTCCTCCTGATCCTCCTGATCATTTGTCCCATGGTTTGCTCTCGCTCTTGCCCAGCTCTTATCACTGCCACCGTGGATCGACTGACTGTCGCGGTATCGTATTTGGGTCGGGTCGGCCAAATGTTTTGCCGTTCTTGGGGCCCTTGTACTCCTCCTCCTCCTCCTCCTCCTCCTTCTCCTCCTCTTCCTCCTCCTCCTCCTCCTCCTCCCCTTCCTCCTCCTCCCCCTCCTCCTCCTCACCTTTCCTTCCTCCCCCCTCCACCGAGGAGCGGAGGGGAGATGTCGAGCGACCTGCTGAACCCGAGATGGCGCCGCCTGATCCTCGCGGTGTCGCGCCTGCTCGCGCAGCGGCTGTCCGACGCCACGCCGGTCCAGCCATCATTCGATGGTCGGAGGCGACGATAGGGGCGAACAGCCCAGGGGCGGGCAATACACGCATTCGTCGGGGAGCCTCGCCGAAGGCATGGACCGTCGGCCCCAATGGACACGCGTATTGCTCCCCCCTGGGGTATCCGCCCTTATCGTCGCCCCCGAGATGGGGCAAGGCAGCGGCGTGCCTTTCGCGTCGCCTGCGAACGACGAGGGAGCGAGGGAGGAAAGAGAAGGGCCGGAAGGGAGGGAAGGTAGGGAGGGGGGATGGAAGGAGGGACGGGGAGACGTAGGGGTAGAAGGAGAAGCCCAGATTTCCAGTGTCTTCAGGAATTCAAGACGGCGGTGTGGATGGGAAGCGAAGGAGAAAGATCATGAGGAGGAGGAGGAGGAGGAGGAGGAGGGGCTAGAGGAGAAGGGAGGAGGATGAAGAGCAGCAGCAGCAGCAGCAGTACGAGGAAGCGGAAAGGAGGAGGAGGAGTAGGGTCACGGCAGGCACGTAAAATATTAAAACGGCTTGCCAGTTGGTGCCCCAACGGAGGTCGTTGTCCCCCGACATTGGGGACCCACCCAATCCCTCGGACTCCATCGAACGGTTAAAGATCGACGACACACATGTCTCTGGATTTCTTGTAGCAGGGTGTCTGATCGTATACATCTACGGTAGGAGGAGACGGGAGAGGGACAGAGAAAATGGCGCGAACCGTCAGGTCTGCGACGGCCGCCGTGCCCGGGAGATGGCGGAGTTCGTGCACACCGACGCGACGGGCGGCGGCTCGCAGATGGACGCTCTTCGTTGTGAATATCATCAGATCGGTTTCGTTTCAGATTGGGTGGTCTCGGCGAGCTGATGTCAGCAACCGCCTCCTCCTCCTGCTCCTCCGCCTCCTCCTCCTCCTCCGTAGCCATTTTGGCTCAAGCCATTTTGGCTCATGCCTGGTGCCAGACCCCATAGCCGTTGGCTCGACCGGCGGGGGCGCAGGCAGGGATGGCGCGGGCGGCCGCCGTCCTTGCGGGGAAGGCGCGGCCGGTGTTTCCTCTCGTCGGAGCAGTGCGGCTCGGCGGGAGGTTCAACGGCAGGCGGCGCTCTCAGCGGAGCTTGCGGTCGCGAGGCTGACCTCCGAGTCGCAGCCGAGCGGCAGCTCCGCATGCAGGCGGAGGAGGCGGTGACGCTGATGTTCGACGACGTCGCGGTTGCTGGGCGTGTACGTGCGCTCCTCCCTGCGCTGCGGGCGCTATGCCGCGGTGAGGCGACCGACTGGCTGATGACCCTGCGGCGCAACGTCGCGCTCCATGCCGAGGCGGATGGCGTACCCGACATCGTCTCAGCGGATGCGTCCACGCTGCGAGGCGCGCAGAAGGGGCCGCGGCTCGGCCTCAAGTGCGCGCGCCAGCGGGCGGCGGCTGGCGCCCCTGCTCCTGGAGGGCTCCGTCGTGATGCAGCCCCCTTCTGGCCGATGCGGCCGCCGGGTGTCTGGGACCGCCAGGCCGTGCGGGTCTTGGCGGAGGCCCTCGGGTTCGGCACCGTGGGCGGCTTAGAGGCGGAGGAGGTCGTCGCGGGCCCGCCGAAGGTGCTTCCTTCGGAGGTGGAGCCCTTCAGTGCTGCTGCCGTTGCAGAGAGTTGCGAGAACGTGGACGTGGATTTCGAGGAGGATGGGCGGCGTTTGGCTCATCCTGAGCCGTTGCGGTGCGCTGGAGCGGCTGTGGCGTGTGGCTACCCAGATGCACGACGTGTGGAGTCGGCGGTGGGTGCTGTATCTGACTTTCCCGTCGCGGTGCAGGAGGAGACGGGCGACGATCTGGCCGCTGAGAAGTTCACGGACGCGCAGTTCCCGCAGGCGCTGGTGACAGGCGCAATGCACGGCGAGACGGGCGAGGGCAATGCTGGTACGGGGACTGCCGCCACCGCTGCTCCTCTGGGACGTCCTAAAGGTGCTCTGGCTGCCCTGGCTGAGAAGATGGGCGGGCGGGGGGCCCTTCCGGCCAGCATCGGTGATCCCTCGCACAACCGTCGCCGTGCAAAGGGAGCTGCCAAGGAGGCTCGCGTTCCTCCCTCTGGCGCTCCATCTTTTCCTTGAGCTCGGGGTGCAAGTTGTGCTAATTCGCAACAGGTGCCTGGGAATCCCCCTGGGGTAATGCCTACCCTTGTTTTAGTGCCACGGTGAGACAGTGGTTTTAATCCTGAATCCTCCTCCTCCTCCTGGTCCTCCCCCTCCTCCTCCTGATCCTCCTCCCCCTCCTCCTCCTGGTCCTCCCCCTTCTCCTCCTGCTCCTCCTCATCCTGCTCCTCCTCCTCTTCCTCCTCCCCTTCATCCTCCACTTCCTCCTCCTCCTGGCCCTCCCCCTCCTCCTCCTGCTCCTCCTCCTCATTCTGCTCCTCCTCCTCTTCCTCCTCCCCTTCATCCTCCACCTCCTCCTCCTCCTCCTCCTCCTCCTCCTGCTCCTCCTCCTCCTCCTCCCTCCTCCTCCTCCTCTTCCTCCTCCTCTTCCTCCTCCTCCTCCTCCTCCTCTTCTTCCTCATCCTCCTTCTCCTCATCCTCCGACCTTCTTCTCCTCCTGCTCCTCTTCCTGCTCCCCCCCCCATGGTCGATTCGATTCAAGCCTGATGTATTCCAGGACAAATCACCATGGAGGACAAGTAATGCCCTGGCCTGGGCCCCAGGCCCCTGGGCCCCGAGCCGTGGCCTCATCCTGCTTCTCCTCCTCATCCTCCTCTGCTTTCTTCTCCCTTCCTTGCACCTGACTGAATTCTAGGAAGAATCGTTCGTTCACTCCCTCCTGCCCCCCTATCCCTTCCCCTCTATGGAGGAGGCGGGGGGATGAGGAGGAAGCATCAGCAGCAAGATGATGAGATGAGTGGGATGACGATGATGATGTTGATGCTCATGATCACGGTGATGATCCTGATCAGCAGGATACTAATGATGATGTTGGTGATGATGTTGATGCGGAAGATGACAGCGATTATGATGACGAGTATGATTGGTGGTGATGATGATGGCGACGACAACGATGATGATGATGATGATGATGATGATGATGAGTATGACGATGTTGATGATCATGGTGGTGATGGTGATGGTGATGACGAGGACGAGGAGGCGGAGGAGGAGGAGGAGATTGAGGAGGATAGGGGGAGGAGGAGATGAGCATGATGCAGGCTGTCAGGGGCGGCGTCCGCTCAATTAGAGGTTCGCGAAGTGATCTAGTAACGGAAAGAGCGGGGTACGAGTGCTGACGTGTTGGTGGGGCGACGCCCTCTAGGGAGGAGGCCAGGGGATGGGCGAGGGGCGCACGTGCCGGTGTTAATGACCGCGGGGGGAGAGCCGTTTCTTTTGTAACTGTTGGAGTGAAGCGGCCCGCGGGCGCCTTCCACGGCTCCTGGGCTCGAAGACGACCCAGGAGGGCCCCAAAACGACCCAAAGACGGCCCCAAGAGAGCTTCGGTTGGCCTGCAGACGGTCCAAGAGAGTTTCGAGACGGTTCCGGAGACCTTCCAGAGGGCCTTCGAGAGGGCCTCAGGAGCCCAAAGACATTGATTTCCCGTTGGTTTTCAAAGGCTGTTCGGGGTATCGCCTTTTCTGGCTCTGACGGGCCCAACACGGCCTATCAGGTCCCAAAGGTCGTCCCTAGGCGGCCCCAGAGGCCCGCGCAAAGAGACGGAAAACATTCCAAAGGGGCCCTCAGACGGAACAAGAGGGCCCCCAAACAGCCCGAGATGACCCCAAGACGGCCCCGAGACGGCCCCAAGAGAGCCACAAGAGGCCCCAAAGAGAGCACCAAGACGGCCCAAAATTGGCCCAAAAATATTCCAAAAGGGCCCCCAGAAGACCCCCAAGAGGCCCAAGAGACGCTCAAGAACACCATGGCTTCCAGCAGCAGGCGGGGACGCAACAAGCTCTTGACACCAAGGCTCCTCAGAGCGCGGTGACGTAAAAAGCTGGTTACACCAAGGCTCCCCAGAGAGAGCGGCACCATGAAAGACTCTGAACACCAGGGCTCCCAACGGAGCGCGGCGACATAACAAGCTCTTCACATCAAGGCTCCTAAGAGCGAAGGGTGCCATGAGCCATCTCGGGCAAGTTCCCGAGGCGTTCTTTCCTTTTCCGTGCCAGCCCAGGTTGTCTAGTGGTTTGGTGGTCTAGTGGTCTGGTAGTAGACGTGCCCCTCCCCCATACATAGGCCTTCATCATGTGCTGCACAGCCCCAGCTGCGGGGCAAGCCCCTTCCCAAGCTGATCTTTGAAGCCCTGTACAGATGGACATGCCCTTGCTTGATCACGAGCTCCTTCTTCTACACAGGCCCCATCTGTTAGACGACGCCCCTCCACAAGATGATAAAAACTCATTGGTGCTAGACGTGCCCATCCTCCTACACAGGCCCCCTCTGCTGCACAGCACCCAATCTTTGACCAGGGCACTCTCCAAGCTGACTGGAACAAATCCTTGGCCCCGCCCCTTCTCCTTCGAAGCACCCTCTATTAGACGAGGCCCATCCCGAAGCTTTATGATAGTATTAATAATGCTAATAATAATAATAATGATGATAATAATGATACTAATAATAGTCATAATAATAATCGTAATAATAATCATCATAATAATAAGAACAAACATAATAATAATAATAATAGTAATAATAATAATAAACCCTGCGGCGCTAGACGTGCCCCTCCTACACTGGCCCGCCCTGCTGCGCAGCACCCTCTGTTACTCTGATAGACAGGGCCCCTCCCCAAGCTGCTTAAACAAGATCCTTGGTGCTAGCCGTGCCCATCTCCCTGCACAGGCCCTTTACGTTGTGCAGCACCGTCTATTAGACAGGGCCCCTCCCAAAGTTGATCAAAACAAACTGATGGGTGTAAGACGCCCCCCTCCTACGCCAGCCCCTTCTGTTGCACAGCATCCTCTGCTAGGCAAGCCCATCCCCGAGCTGACTCAAAAATCCTTTCTGCGCTAGACGTGCCCCTCCTCCTGAACAGGCCACTTTGATCAGACAAGGCCCCTCCCCAAGCCGAGTCCAGCAAATCCTTGGTGCTAGACGTGCCCCCACCCGTTCACCAGACCACTCTGTTGCTCAGCGCCCTCTCTGAGACAAGGCCCTTTCCCAAGCCGGCTCACAAGGACTTCGCGATGCTAGATGTGACCGTTCTTTTGCACAGCATACCCCTCTATTAGACAAGGACCCCCCCCAAAGTTGATGTCCCTTAGCTGATAAAATCCCCCTGGTGCTAGACGCGCCATCTCTCCTACGCAGGACCCCTCTGATGCACGCCACTGCAACGCGAGCCCCTCAAGCTGATTCGAAAATCCCTCTGGCTCTACACGCTCCCCCCCTCGAGCACGGCACCCCCTATTGGACCAGCCTTCTCCCCAAGCTGATTAAAATTCTTCGGCGTTAGAAGCGCTGCTCCCCGCGCGCGGCTACTGGCCAAGGCGCGCCCCGAAGCTCACCACAACAATTATTTCACGATGCTAGACGCGCCTCTCCCCCATTCACAGGCCCCTTCTGCGGCTCGGCGCCCTCTATTCGACAAGGCCCCTTCCCAAGCTGATTCGATGGAATCTTGGGCGCGCGTGCCTCTTCCGCAGCACAGCACCCTCTAGTGGACTTGCCTCCTCCACAAGCTGATTATAAAAGAAACTCCCTAGTGCTAGACGCGCCTCTCCTCCGACGCAGGCCCCCTCTGTTGCACAGCACGCTTTGCTAGACAAGCCCTTCCAGAAGCTGGTTCAATCAGCTCCTTTGGCGCTAGTCGTGCCCTTGTTTCTGAACGAGGCTCTCTA